AGATCAAATTTCGAATACCGACTAGTACTCACAATTTTTTCTGTTGGCTCATCATCGTCTAACTGGTTAATACGAAAACCGGAATTTGGTACTGAAAGTTGATTGAGATTTGGATTAGGGAAAGGTTGTGGGTTTTGAGATTGTGTTTGGTATTGGAAATGTGGTGAAACAAAATTTGCTTGGTGATGAAATTGTGGTGGAACCATTAAATTTTAAGCACCATAAACTGGGGTTGAAAAACTTAGTTGATTACTACCCGCTACTGACCCAACTTCACTACTTCTAGGTTCAACAACATACAATGTAACATCATCTTGCGAAACACTAATGTAAGCAATGAATCGTTCAACATCTTCATTGTCGGTTAACAAATAAACTTTACATTTTCTCTAATAAGATAGCCTAAATCCACTTAAGGGCTCTAAATTCAATTAATTTGCAACACGTAACATTAGAGTTTCATAAGTTAACTTTTTTAATGACAGTTTTAGTTGAAGATTCATGGGTAAAGGCATATATTGTAAAACACCATGAACATTCTCCCATGACCCTCCAAAACACAAATCTATCCAAATATGATCAACATTAGATGATTTCATTATTGTAAATTAATTTACTAAACAAACGAGCTGCGAAACTAAAACCTGTTGCCGGATGGGGAATGATGTCGTTGGATATAAGAACGGATGTCGCCGGAGAGAGTGATAGATGGAGATGGAATGAGTTGCGATTTAAGGATTTATGTTATGAGTTGCTTCTGTTGCGTAGTTATATACCCAAAACATTTGTGTTGCGAAACTAAAACCTGTTGCGAATTTGAAATTCAGTGTTGCGACAGTCAGAATCGTGTTGCGATAGTCAGAATCGCATTGCGATAGTCATAATCGCATTGCGATTTACATATTCGCATTGCGATTTACATATTCGCATTGCGATTAACATATTCACATTGCGATAGTCGGAAAATCGCAATGCGATAGTCAGAATCGCGTTGCGAATCTGGAAACTGATTTGCGATACCGGAGATCGCGTTGCGAATTATCGATCGCATTGCGATTTAGTTGGTCATTTTGGCAAATCAAAAAAAAGTTGGTTAAAATCGTATATTATAAGACATTTTTGGTCACTGAGATTATTTTCTCTAATTGAAATACTTAGTTTACCCTATTTTTTAATGATATTTATGTAAAAATGCCAAAATATTCACAAACAAGTGCACCTTAAAAAAATATGACGGTGATATGACATACACTAGCAACCGAACCTTCTATCTACTTCTCTCTTCTAATATTTTTTTTATTCCATTCTGCACCCTAACAAAATCTATATTTTATAGCATAGTTACTCAAAATAATCAACTTGTTGTAAACTCTCTAGAAGTAATAAAATAACAAAATTACTTCTTTTAAAAAACAAAATGGGTTTTCATTCATTTATTTAAAATCCGAGATTGAAACATGTTTTTCTAATTTTTCCTTTAAATTATTATTTTGATCTTTAATATAAAAAATATCGATACCTAATTATAAAGTGTCATACGTTATGTTGTTATCCGTTACTTTTATTTTGAATAAGATTAAAATAAAATTAATAATTAAAGAGTAAATTAGAAAAATTATATGATATAAAGTAATAACAAATATATATTTTAAAAGAAAAATAGTAAATTATGTTTTTTCTAAAGAAAAGTGATTGTTTAAGTCCGTACTATATTAATAACTAAAAAAAACTATAGGTCAGAAGGACGTAACCAACGTAAGTTCAATAACTATTATCTTTAAAGTTCATGTATATTTTGTTCATGAACTTGGTTTTAAGTATTTAGTTGTTGAACTAATTTGACTTTTAAATTTAGTTTTAGGTACCTAATTGTTATTTGAAGTTAACATTAATTACTTAATGTACTCCTGAACTTCTTTTTTTATTCATTTAATTCCTAAAACTTTATTTTATGCACTTAGTTGATACCTAAACCTAAAAATTATCACATACATTAATAAAAAAATCAATAATATTAAAATTTATTGATATGTGACTTTAGACAACCAATGAATGCCACATATTTTTAAAGTTAACCTCATAATTTTAGCCTCGAGCACATAGATGATATATGAACTCATATTTGGTACTTGATATTTTTTTTCTAACCTACTTAGTACTTAAAATTAAAAATTGACATATAGATTGATAAAAAAACTTAACTCCATCACAGGTTCGTTGATATGTTACCTCCAACTAATCAATTGGTGCCACACATATTTAAAAGTAAACATATTCATCAATTATTTGATTGAATGTAAGATATCAATAATTTTTTTTGATGGAGTTAGGTATTTAAATTAATGTAAGTAACATTTTTTAAGTAGGAAAGAAAAAATTCAAATATCAAATAGGTCTAGAAAAAACTTAGATACCAGTTAGATACTTAAGGCCAAGGTCAGGAGTCCATTTTAAAGTCACGTGTCATCTGTTGATTAATTAAAGGTAACATATAAGTAAAATTTAAACGGGGTTATATTTTTAGATTAATGTGTGTGATTTTTTTTAAATTAAAGAATCAACTAACTACTTAAAACAAAGTTAAATAGTCAAATGAGTAAAAAGAGTTTAGGGGTCAATTAAGTATCTAACATCAAATTCAAGGGACAAATGGGTCCAAGAAAGTTCAAGTGTCAACCAGGTACCTAAGATCAAATTCAAAAGGTAAATTATACCTTAACCCTAATCTTTAAGTACCATAGTTGCTATCAAAATACAATGCTCCAATCCTTTTAGATTTAAATTAGCTAGTAATGAGATGCTATTGGAAAGGAGTGTAGAACTTTTGGTCCAAAACAATGCTCTAATAATTCCCCTTTTGTACCTAAAAATGAAGCATTTATTCTCAATTGGCATTCAAAGAACTTAAGGGAAGACTAGAACTAGCTAAGTTGATGCCATTAATTAATTAATTCCTTTTGTGCATCTGTTTTCAACTCTTTTAATTTTATATGTACACTGTTTTCTAATTTATATCTTTTTTACTAATAAATTTAATTAAATATCAAGTTTTTTTTATTAACCGAGAGGTATTATATTTTCGAGATAAATGTTTGGTTTGAATCCACTTAAAGTAGAATAACATGGTCATTTTTAATCATTCGATCAATTAATGAATATCTAAATATCAAATCTTTAATAGATGATTTTTAAACTCGATTTGACTTGATTTAAATTTAAATAAATTAGAAATTTTAATTTAATAATAAAATCTTAAATATTTTATTATGATTTGAATGATAGAAATGTTGACCAATGGATGAAACCGAACTTGATTCAAATCTGAACATAGTTTTTTTTAATTAGATCATGCAATCTTTTACACTGACAAGTGTAATTATGGAAAGGAGAAAATATTAAAATCATTTGTCTATTTAAAGAGAATTAAAGCACATGGATTAATAAGAGGAATCCATAGCTAAACTTTAAAATATAAACCAAAACCATTTACAAAAGTGGTTGAATATACGCGATGAAAATAAATTTTTATATTAAACGTGTGAATTTTTAAAAATTTATACTAGAAATTAATAGAAATATAAAATTTCATATTATTTTTTGTTGGTTGTCTTCTCGGTTCTCAAAGTCTTATCTAAATTAATTCAGATCAATCTGGGTCATACACTTGACTTTAATGTGTGAGTTTCCTAGCGAAGATTTTTTTACATACACAAAGACTCGAATTTGATATCTACTTAAGCGATATCAAACTACTTACCACTTAAACGGTTAATATAAAATTTCTTATTTAATTAGAAGATACCAGTATATTCAAGAGTAAAATAAAATAATTAATTTTACTTAAATAAAATTTAAATTTAAGTGGATTAATAATGATTGTGGGTGAAAATAGGGAACATAAAAAGTAATAATAATAATAAATAAAAAAGCAGGTGGGAGAGTAAAGGCGTATATATTCCTCTAAAGCATCTTCCCACTATTATTACAACTCGATATGCGGAGGAAAAGCTTTGCATTATGAGATTCTTCTTTTAAAATAAAGAATAAAATACTACAATGCATTAGTTTTAATTAAAAAGTTCTATTTTGTGTAAGTTGAGCTGTCATTCTTATAATTTTTATCTTGTGAAATTACAAAATGGGGTCTATTAAGATATTATTAATGGATAAATGAGAAAAAAATTTATACATAAAATATTAAAATTAAAATATAATTAATTACTGATTGATGATGGTACATAATTTTTAAAAAATAAATAAATATGAAAAATCAAAATTATAAAAAAATATAAATATACAAATTATTACAGCTTCAATCATTACTTTCATAATGTTTTTGTAAATTACCTTAAAATATAATTTAAAATATCAAATGACATCTTAACCACTCAAAAAATTAATAGTTAAAAAATAAAATATTTTAAATCAATATAACGCTTTGAATTTTTTTATTTATTTGCAATATTTCATTTTACATTAATTTTGGATTTTTTACTGAAATGTCATAAAAAAATTTAAAATTAATTTTTATTGTAAATTTATTTTTGAATTGATATTTTTTTGATAAAAATATATCACATTAGACACATGTTTGACAGATAATATCTTTTATCATCGTGATAAGAAGTACCTTTTGCTGTCGTGATAAAAAAATAATTAAAATTTTTAAAAGTCCGGAAAAAATGAAAGGGAAAAATTAAAATATAAAAACATTATGTAAAATTTATCTAAAAAACACGTACAATATACTATGAAAATATATATTTATATGAATACAAATATAAATCAATTAAATTATAGAAAAATTATTATCCGGTCCAACTTATAAATATTTAATATTCATTTTTAAGATTAATTCTAGTTTCTTAAAAACTAATTAATAATTTGAATAAAAGGGGTAGTTTTGAACTTTTGGAATTACTACTTTTCTTTTTCTTTTTCTTTCTTTTATTTTCTCAACCGCTAATGTGAATAAAGGACTTCGTCGCATAATTTTCTATTGAAAATTCCCATTTTTTTCCTCGCTCTAACAGCGACGATCGATTTCATTCAATTTCTTTGCCGTTGAATCTTCAATTTTTATTCTCGATTCAATCAGGTTAAGATTTCTCTTCTCTCTCTCTCTCTCTCTCTCTTTTTAGTTATCGTTCTCTATTTCACTCTCGTTCAGATCTGATTCTTTTTTTTTGAATTTGTAGTTTCGTTTGATTTCTTATTTTTATAGATCTAATTTTCATTTATCTAAATCCAGCTAAATTTCACCTCGTTCTGGTAGATTTTTGTTTTTTGAATTCATAATTGTTCTGAAAATTTCATATTCATATTTATTTATCTGTTGCTCTTCTTTGCAAAAGATTCTTAATTTGAAGATTTAGGGATAATTTGGATTACTCAAAAACCGAGATATCTATGACAGATGTCATTATATTCCCTGTAATTGGTCTTCAATTTTTCGCTTTTGAGTTCTTTGACTTTTCTTTGTAACGATTTGAACTTGTCTAGATGTATTTAATTATATTCATTTGTATGTCTGAAATGGTCTAAGCTTTCTTCCCCCCCCCCCCCTTCTTCTTTAGTGTGTTAGGCTGCTTCATTTCGAACTCAGGCGAGGATGAAGAAGGCTATCGGTCAAACTGTTAGAGAACTGTAAGTGTATTACTAGATACGAATTCCCTTATATGATGTCGTAGTTGATTTTTTTCTTCAAATATCTAATAGTTTAAAGAAATAATTTGGTCGTATAATTATCTACGAATGATGATTACTGCCAGTTTAGTTGCTTTTGAATCAAATTTTGGTATTCCTGTTTATTGGTATTTGCTGTAACTAGTTGCTAAATGATCTTTTGTTCCATCTTCTTGCAGCAAGAGAGAGGTTAATAAGAAGGTTCTTAAAGTTCCTGGAATAGAGCAGAAGGTATGAGATACTCTAGAAAGTTAACTGTTCATTTGAGTACTTAAAAGGCAATTGTTGCATGATTATAAGTGTCAATGATTGGTAGGCAAGGGGGTTTAATAGACTATCCGGATATCTGATTCCAGATTTAGATACTAAAAGGTTGGGGATATTTAGCATTACTATTGAAGTGCTATTGTGATTTTATAATTTTCATGTTCTAGTAATGGGATGGAAGAAAGTGAGGAGAACAAAGTGTGACATTATATTACTTGGGCTTGGTTGTGAGTGTTGGATACAATATGGTTATGTCTAACATTGTTATGTTAATTTTTTCTTAGTTTTCCATGTATTTGGAGGGTCCATGGAGGGTCATTTCCCCATACCTATATTCGTGTATGCATTAGACACAGTTGTTGTACACCTGTACTCCATGAAAAGTGAAGAGTTGGTGCACATAGGCGTGCGAACTAATTTAAATTAATCAAGTCTTTGGATTTGTAGCCCAATTGATATTTAATATACGAGGGGTAGTTTCATACCGATCAAAGGCCTATATATGATACCAAGTACTATAAGGAATGGGGTCAGAACAGTATAATTTGGACAAGCGGCTAATTCGGTTTGGGAGAGTAGTTCATCGACCTCTGTTCTTTACATCCTGTGGCTGCCAGTCACAGGCTAGTTTGGTTGTTTGTTTGAATGTTTCAGAGAACTAATTGTAAAGTTTCTAAATTTGCTAAAAGATCGCTATTTTTCCTATGAATGTCTTATCAAATTTGGTAGTGCCTAAGATGCTGGTTGAGCTGAATCTTGATATAACATATTGTTTGCAAACTACTTTCTTCATACTTCTTTTTTGTCCTTTTGGTAAGTAGGAGATCGTACGTAGAAGTATTTAACTTCAATAAATATAGTATTCTTGAACAAAAATGATCTCTAATGTTATATGTAATACTATTAAAATTTAATTTATCCTTATGAAATAATATTCTTTTTCTTTTTGGCTTTCAGGTTCTTGATGCCACCAGTAATGAGCCCTGGGGTCCTCATGGATCACTTCTTGCAGATATTGCAATGGCTACAAGAAACTAGTAAGCTTGCGGCAAGTTATGTATGATTGTCATTCTATACATGTTACAGGGAAACTCATTTTCTTTTAAATATTCATGCAGTCATGAGTATCAGATGATCATGACAGTAATCTGGAAACGTCTAAGTGACACTGGAAAGAATTGGCGTCATGTTTACAAGGTCAGAAAATTTTAGTTGTATTCATTATCAATTTCTTTCCTCTGCAACATGTAAAAGAGATTGTATGAAAATCTCATTTAATTGCTTGCATTTATCATTTTACTAAATTTCCATCTTCAATTTTGAAACCATCTTGTGTACTACATTTCTCTCCTCTCGTTATCTGTATATATTTTATGTTTCTTCAACGTTCCCCCTAAATAAACTGTACCAATGTACTAAGGCTTTTGCTTTATTGAGCTTCAGGCTCTGACAGTTCTAGAATACCTTGTTGCTAATGGATCAGAGCGAGTCATAGATGACATAAGAGAACATTCGTATCAAGTATCGGTAATTTCTGTTTCTGAATTCTATATGACACTATTGATGATACAATCTGCTGCTTGCTGTATTTACATGTTTCAGTCTATTTAAATATTTCTTTCCGCGTTACAGACCTTGTCCAATTTTCAGTATATTGATTCCAGTGGAAGGGACCAAGGTAACAATGTCAGAAAAAAATCTCAGAGCCTTGTGGCCCTAGTAAATGATAAAGAAAGAATAATTGAAGTAAGACAAAAGGCTGCAGCTAACATGGACAAGTGAGTCGGCAAACTTCCTTTATGATTTAATATTGTTGTTTTATTCAATCATCCTCCCAAATAAAAATGTTTTAGCACTAGCATTGAAAAATATTGGTGCTTCTTTTGGTTCTATTCTGCTTTTAACATAAATTCATCTCCATGCTTATCAATCGTATTTACCTTTGTGCTTTCAACATTAAAGTACATCTCTGCAAGAGCCTACATTACTTTCAACTTGACAAGTACATGTATGCTTGAGCATGCACATATGCGGATGCACTTTCTCTTTGGTATGAGACTTAATGTGTTATGTGGTATATGTTGTTCCTATAGCAGTGAGAGAAGTGTGGATGCACTTTCATTGAGAATGATTAAAGTGGTTTTTCTCTCCAAAGGTGCAGCTGTATTTTTGCATTCTTGCTATTAATTGTGGGATATTTCTTGTTCATCTATTTACTGGTTGACATCCTTTTTTTCTTTCTTTCTTGAGTCAAATAGAAAAGGTTTACGCTTAATCTAGCTTCTTCTCTATTGAGTTCCATTTATATAGGTTCTAGTAACATTTCTTGCTCATGATCAGTGGGATCTGTAAGATTACTTTTCTTCTCCCATTAGTAGTTAGTTAAAGATATTGCTTCGGAGTTTTATCCTTGATATGTGAATATAAACTAATGGGGATGCCATAATGTATTATTTTTTTCTCTACAGGTTTCGGAATACATCAACTGGTGGAATGTATAGACCAGGTTCAGGGGGATATGGTGACAGATATGATTATGGAAACAGAGATTATGATGATCAGAATGGTTATGGAAGAGACCGGGAGTATGGCTACAGAGATGATGATCGGTATGGCAGATATGGGGATTCAAACAGTCGCGATGGAGATCGTTATGGTAGAGATTATGAAGACCGCAACAGCAGAGATGGTTACAGGGATGATGACTACCGTGGTAGAAGTAGAAGTGTTGATGATTATCAATATGGCACAAGATCTAGAAGCTCTGATAGAGACCATGCTTTTGATGAGGATGGTGCTTCTTCTCGGTATGCACATATTTACGTTGATGCCTTTATATTGTTATGTTCTTTTACGAAACATTAATATCGTTGATTCAATTATGTTAACCATGTCATAATTTTCTGTTGGAAGTATTTTTCGCGCTTCTTTTTGTATGTCATGGAAATAATTCAAAATTCAAGGTGATATTGGTACTTTCTGTTGCACTAGATTAGGATTCTTAAATGGTGTGTTTACTTGGCAACTTCTCTTGGAATTTTTCTATCCAAATGTGCTTGGATGTCACTTCACCAAGTAGCAGATATTCTGATGGCAAAGATGGAGAGGTTCTTGGAGGGGGTTCTTGGTCTGCGTTCGTTGATAATCTTAGTAGGAGAGTGAGCAGAAGAACATTAGGGGAACATTTTAGTTATCATGGAAAAGTTATTAGGGTGTTTATTCCTTTTATTAACAACAGACAGAAATACAAGGATTGTACGTTTGCATTTGTCCATTTTGCAAGCAAGAAGGATCTGTGCAATGCGGTGGAGAAGATGAATAATGTCAGGATTGCCGGGAAGATAATTTCTGTATCAGTAGCTAAATATGACAAGTTATCTGAGATGAAGAGTCGTGAAGGGGCTAGTGAGGAGGGCTTCAAAAAGGTAGAAATAGGAGAGTTGAAGGGCAGAAGATTGACTTCTCCAGCACAAGGGAAAGAGAAAATGGAACGAATGAGCAAGTTCCTTGATGGAAGGACTTATAGAGACACGGTGGTTGGGGTGAAAAAAGTTCCAGAGGGTCATCAAATAAGCAGTCAAAGGAATACTAAGGAAGAGAAGAAATCTTTGGAAGTCTTTATCCCAATGGAAGAGAGATTATGGTTGAAATCTTCACTTAATGGCATTTGCAAAGATATTTTTGAAGTAGAATTTGTGCAGAAAGCCTTACGAAATGAGGGCTTCAAAGTTAAGGTGATAAGGTGGGGATATGCGAAGAATGCGTGTCTGGTAGTGTTTCAGTCGGTTGAAGAGAGAAGGATTGCAATGGAAGAAAAATGGGAAGCCCTGATGTTCTGGTTTGAAATATTGGAGCCAATGGTAGAGGAGGGGGGCATTCCATTAGCTTATTGTGCAATTTCAATGATTGGTGTCCTATTAAATTGTTGGTCGGTCCCGTTCTTTTCTAGCTTAGCATCCAGATGGGGCAAGGTAGTAAAAATCCAAGATCAAACTGCACATAGAGTGGATTGCAGAGTGGCACAATTGTTACTAAGGGTTGAGAGTCCATATGACATTCCATAACAGTCATCACTACGTATGGGAGAAAATTCATGATTAAAATTAAAGTTGTTGGTGCTGAGAATTTTTTCCCATAATTAACAGATATGGAGGTAGAAGAAGTTGCAGAGGAACCATGGGAGGAAAGCTCTTCGGATTGGAGCAAGGAAGATGTGCAGAATAGGCAAGAAGAGCAGGTGGGAGTACAAGAGTACAAGAGTTGTCAGAACCCCAGACTAGGATTGAGTATTGGATTAGAAGTTCTCAACAAGACAAAAACACAACTACCGAGGGAGGTTTGAATTTAAACATAGGTATGGAAAATACTTTTGTCTTGTGCAAAAATGTGACAGAAGTAGGGGATGTCTCCATACAGCAGGAAAAGTCGGAAGAAGTTAATGAAGGGAGAGAAAATGGGAAAAGTCTGGGAGGTGTTCCCATAGAGCATGAAAAAGTTGACCGCGGAAATGGGCTTATTAGGGGCCCGGATATACATTTGAGGAGTGGGCTGGATCAAGAGGAGGAGAGATTAAGCAAGGGATGTTTTGAAACAACATAAAATAATGTTGTGCATTGTCAAACTCCAGTGCAGGTGGGGTCTGTTTTCTTGTCTTCTTACAGGAATTTGGGGACTGTACCTGGGAGTAGAATGGGAAGGGGCAAATATAAATATGTTTATTCAAGATCTAGGTTGAGGGGAACTAGGAGCTGTTTAGGTACAAGTTCGAAATATGAATATAGAAATGAGGAGGGGGATGGGGCAAAGGCATTGGAGAGCTGGAATGTAAGTAAATTGTTAGGGATTTCATTTAGAGGGGGGAAAAAGCTTTTATGAACAAAGCAAATCCATTGGTTAAGGGGAGAGGAGCGCATGGGGGAAATTAAGGGGTGATGGATTTCAAGGTTATGACTGGATATAGATGACTAGTTGGAATTTACTGTCTTGGAATTTACTGTCTTGGAATGTTAGAGGTTTGGGTAAGAGGATAAAGGCTAGAGCTGTAAGGAGGGTTGTTAAGGAGAGAAAGCCTTTAATTCTATTCATTCAGGAATCGAAAATGGAAGTGTTGACTCCGCTGGTAGTGAGGAAAATGGGTGGTAATTTGTTGACAGCTTCGGCAGTTTCAGCAGCTGTAGGTTATGCTGGAGGTATGATTACTTTATGGAATGAAAAAGAGTGTAAGGTTATAGAGGAGATCATTCATAGGAGGTTTGTAGCAGTTAAGGGTATTATTGCTGAGTTACAAGGATCCTGTTGGTTCATAAATGTGTACGGTCCGAGTGTCGATTCAGAAAAAGAGGCGTTTTTCGGGTAGCTATTATCATTCTTAGAGAATATAGACTGTCCAGTGTGTCTCGGAGGAGACTTCAATGTTGTAATGTCACAGGATGAGAAGATTGGAGGTGCAGTGAACTTAGTTACAATGTTTGCTTTCAAAGATTTTATGAGCAAAGCTAATTTATTGGATTTGCCTTTGGTTGGAGGTCGATTTACATGGTGTAACAATAGGGATATCCCAACTTATGAGAGGCTTGATCGATTCCTAGTGGATCAAAGATTTTTATCATTGTTCCCTATGATACCTCAAAGACTCCTTGAAAGGTCTGTTTCAGATCATAACAGCATCTTGCTGGAAAATAGGGGCTAGAATTGGGGCCCTAAACCGTTCAAATTGTTTAATTATGTCTTAGAAGAAGATGGATTTTGTAGGATGATGGAGGGAGAACTGGTCAAGCTTTGTAACGTGGAGAATAGACAACCAATCTCTAGTGTACTAAAAGGAGTACAGGATGCAGTGAAGAATTGGTCTGGGAAGGGTTATCTTGAGATCCCTGGGAGAATAAATAGGTTGGAGAAAGAAATTCAGGAGATGGAACTTAATATGCAACAAGGTCTCTCCATGGTGTCTATGAAGAACCTAGTGGAAGCAAAGAAAGAGCTGTGGGACTTGTATAAAAAAGATGAACTGATTTGGCTTCAAAAGTCAAGATTGAAGTGGAGTTTGAATGGGGATAAGAACACTAGATTTTTCCACCAGTGTGCAAGAGGTAGAGGTAGGAGAAATGGTATCAAATCCATCAAAGTAGATAATGAAGACATTTCAGATCCAAAATTAATTAAAGCTTCGGTGGTGCACTTTTTCAAGGGGTTGTTTAATCAGGAAAATACATTGGAAGTTGAGGAGATGGACTTGGATTTTTTACAGCTATCGAATCAGCAGAGTATGGCACTCGAGAAGCCTTTTGCTGAAGAGGAAATTTGGGGTGTAATCGCTAATTCGGATTGTAATAAAGCACCTGGCCCGGATGGACTGAATTTAGGTTTTTTTAAGAAGTTTTGGTCAAGTCTGAAGGAAGTTTTGCTGCTGTTTTTTAAAGAATTTTATGAGGGAAAGGAATGGGACATAGAAACCAATCATTCTTTCCTCTCTTATTCCCAAGAGGGGCAATCCGGAGGGGCTTGAAGACTTTAGGCCTATTAGTCTAGTTGGGGGTTTCTACAAAATTCTCTCAAAAGTTCTGGCTAGAAGGTTAAGCTTATGCATTAATGAAGTTATTAGTCCTTCACAGTTCGCATTTATACCGGGGAGGCACATTTTAGGTTGCTCGTTTATAGCAAATGAAGGTATTGATTGTTGGAGGAAAAAATGATTGAAGGGAGTTGTTTTTAAGGTGGATTTCAAAAGAGCTTTTGATACGGTTGATTGAAGGATCTTGCTGAAAATAATGAGTAAAATGGGGTTTGGAGCTAGATGGAGTTCTTGGATGTACAAGTGTGTTTCAACAGCTTTCATTTTAGTTTTGGTAAATGGCACACCTACGGAGAAAATTCACATTACTAGAGGGCTAAGGCAGGGTTGCTCGTTATCCTCTTTGTTGTTCAATTTGGGAGGGGAATTGCTACATTTAATGTTGGTAAAAGCAGTGAACAAGGGGCTGTTTTCGGGTTTTGAATTAGGCTCTAATGATCGTTCTTTCATGTTATCTCATTTGCAATTTGCGGATGATTTAATAATTTTTAGTAAGGCTTCTATTCATGATTTGGTGAATATTAGAAGGGTGCTTTTAATTTATGAACTGATGGTGGGTTTGACGTTGAATCTGTCTAAGAGCAGAATTTTTGGAATTAATGTGGGGGAGGAGGAACTAGTTTCATGGGCAAAGGAAATAGGCTGGAAGGGCTGTCTTGGTCAAATCGGTGTTGTGCTCTATTCCAATTCACTATCTTTCTATTTTTCGGATCCCTATTAGTGTTCTCAACAAACTAAACTCTATTAATGCATCGTTTCTATGGGGGGATCATCAGATAAAAAGAACATTCATTGGATCAAGTGGGATTTGGTGTGTAAGCCAAAGAAGTTGGGGGGTTTAGGGATTTCGAATCTGTTGCTATTAAACAGGGCTCTTATGGGGAAATGGGTGTGGAAATTTGCTGTAGAGAAAAATTCTTGGTGGAAATCAGTTGTGTGTTGTGTTTACAATATGAATCCTGATTCATTGATGATCCGGAATACTTGGACAGCTAGTACTTCTTGGATTTGGAGAGGAGTTGTTAAGAACTTATTTTCAAGTGATGCATTTGGGGACTGTTTTAGGAGAAATTTGTGTGTTAGGGCTGGAAATGGAGAAACTGTTCAGTTTTGGCATGATGTTTGGTTGGGTTCGGTTCCTCTAAAAGATAGCTTTCCAAGGTTATTTGCTCTTTCGACTAACAAAGAGGGTAAGGTTGCAGAATTCAGATTGTATAATGATTCGGGTTGGGTTTGGGGTATTCAAATGAGAAGGAATTTGGTGGATTGGGAGGTTGAGCAGTGGCTGCAAATTATCTCTCTGTTGAATAACTCTTCTTTGTCTCTAGTAGAGGAAGATTATTGGATTTGGTTGGGAAATGGAGAGGGCTGTTTTACAGCAAAATCATGCATGAAGACTTATTTTGATAGAGAGGGTATTGATCAATTAGAAAGTAATTGGGAACGGTATGTTTGGAAAGGAGTAGCTCCACCACGTGTGGAATCTTTTGTTTGGCAACTTGCTCATCATAGAGTTGCGGTGAAAGAGGAATTGCTGAAGAGAGGAGTTTCTGGGGTTGAAGACTCTGTCTGCCCTTTGTGCAGGAAGTACAATGAGTCGGTCTCTCATTTGTTTCTTCACTGTGAAGTGGTATGGGATTTGTGGGCTAAGTTTTTAAAGTTATGGAATGTTTTCTTTGCGGTTCCTGGTTCGTTGATGGACTTCTTAATTGCCTGGGATGACCTAGTGCCGCGATCTCATATATGGAAGTTTATTTCAAGAGCAGTGTTGTGGTCCGTTTGAAAATGTAGGAATGAGGTGATTTTTCAGAATGGGAAGGTAGATTCAGCGTTGTTGTTCTTCATTTCACGTTTCAGAACTGTTTCTTGGTTTGAAACATCAGTTAAGGATGTTCATTTTCATTTCGATTCCTTGATGGGGGATTTAAAACTAGCAGATCAACATGTCAATCTGAATAAGAGGTATCTTCCTTCTTCTAGGTGGAGTCCTCCTCCGATAGGGTTCTTAAAAGTTAATGTTGATGGTGCAATGGTCAAAGGTTGGGATAAGGGTGGAATAGGTGGCTTGATTAGAGATGGCAGTGGGATGGTGCTTGGGTCATTTTCAGAGAAGGTAGGGGGAGGTCCTCCCTTACTCGCAGAGCTTTTGGTGATCAAGAGAGGGTTGATTCTTATTGAGGAAGTTGAAGCTGATTTCTTTTCAAATCAGAGGATCATTTTGGAATCGAATTCTTCTAATGCTCTGAAGTGGATTAATAATCCGAACCTTAGTACTACTTTGTTTCATTCCTTGGTAAGGGATATAGCTTCTACTGTGGAGAGGAAGGGTATTATCACAAGGCTCATCTCGAGAGTAGCAAATTGGGAAGCGGATGAATTAGCTAAAGCTGGTATAGGCTGATCTTTAGGTTTGTGTAATGGTTAAGGTGTTATGCCTTGATTGTTCTTATTTAGGGAGTATCAGGGTGTGTTATGTTTTCAGATTTATGGTTTTCTGTTTTGTAAGAAGTTGTTAGCTGTTGAGGTGTGGAGGTGTATTATTGTTCTAATTAATAAAAGTTTGAGGCACTCTTTTCCTCCTTCCAATGTCCTTCATGTTATGTTTGTAACATGTAGGATAAGAAGGGGTTTTTTAATGAGGCCTTATTTTATAAAAAAAAAATCTTCTCTGCAGGGGCAGCGGTGCTAGAGCTGATGATCACTCTCAGGATGGAAGGTAACCACAGGAGGTTACAACTGCTGAAATTTAAATTTTAGACTTGTTGGATGCCATCTCATAAAGAATGTCTTCGTGATTCAGCTAGGCTAACCTTAGATTGTAGTCGATCAATTTTTATTAGACAGTAATTATTGGTTTCTTATTTCTAAAATTTCTGAAAAAATATATTTTTTTCCAGGCAGAATGAGCAGAAGCATTCTGAACAAAATGTTGGTGCTCCTGGTTATGAAGAAGCAGCAAGTGAGACTCAGAGTCCTGTCCATAGTGAAAGGTATTTCCTTTCAGCTTAAGTTTCAGAGACATGTTGCTTGCAATTGTGTTGGTTGGTAGTGCATACTGAAAAAAATCTTTCATGATAGGGTTGGCCAAGCTTCTGTAGCAGCTGCTCTCGGGGCTTCTCCTCCTCCTCCTAATTATAATCCTAACCAAGCAGCCCCTGATCTTAGTAATTCAGCTTCTCTTCCAAATCAACAAGTGGAGGCATTTGATGAATTTGATCCCCGCGGTCCAGTTTCAGGTATGCAATACTATATGAATTCCATGGTTTTTATGTTCCAATGGTATTAAATGGATGGGTTGTAGTTGTCTCACACTAGGAATATTGTGCTCTTTTGCTCATCTATTATATAACTTATTTGATGTGCTGTTCTTTTGTCATCACATATCCTGGAAAGTGTATTTTTCTGAGTTGTCCAAATATATAGTTTGACATGCTCTGTTGCTTCACATTCCATTTTATTATTATCTTTATTCATTTTTCATGTGGTAGGTTTTAGTATATTTTCTTCTGTGTAAAATGTTTATTTCTTGACATAAAGACTATTTGGTGACTTGTCCCTTATAACTAGAATTAATTTTTCATCTATTTCTCTCATCAATTGCAGCTGCTCCAACTACTGCTGCAGCTGTCCCTGCTCCTGATGTTCCCACTGCTTCAACCAATGTTGAAATGGATTTGCTGGACGCTCTGTCTGATTCATTTGCTATCGTGCCAGTTACACCTGAAAACCTTGCTACCGAGTCTGATGCCCATGCAAACTCCGATGCTTTGCCCACCTTTGCTGCTAATCAGTCGGCATCTAATTTTGGAAATCAGGTAATATGGTTCATATAATTGCTGGTCTTGTTAAAAATTTTGCTGTATTTCCTCTTTCCTGTCTCTCCCTTATCTACTCTGAATTTTTTCTTTGTTCTGATTCCAGTGGACTTCAATTTGTATTTTCTAAATTCAGGGTTTTGATGATCCATTCGGTGATAATCCTTTTAAAGCTGTCCCTTCAACTGATGCTGCCCCAGCTGCGCAACAAATTTCTACTTCCATGCCTACTTTCCAATCTGCAACAAACCAAAATGCAGTAGCTCCTCAGCTACCTTCTGCAAATTCTGAGACAGTTACCAACTTCAACTTTGGGGATTCATTCTCTGCCAATGCTTACTCTGCACCTGGTGTCTCCACCGTACAACCTCCATCAACAAATCCTCAGTTTCTGCCTCAGGAATTGTCAACTCCAAATCAGGAAAATAATTCACTGGCGGATATTTTTCCACCTTCTGGACCTGCACAGCCGAGTGCTAGCACATATGGCCAATCTGTGCAGCCAAGTGTTTATCCTTATAGCCAACCGCCACAACCCGGTGCTAATCCCTATGGCCAACCCTCACAGCCAAATGCTAATCCATATGGTCAACCTGCACAGCCAAATGCTAATCCATATGGTCAACCTGCACAGCCAAACGCTAATCCATATGCCCAAACCATGCAACCAAATTCGAATAATTCATATGGTAATTTTAACCCACAGACCGTGTCTATGGCCCCTCAGATACTTGAATCTGCTGCCCAAAGCAGCAATGGGAGCTTCAACTCTCGGATAGGTTCTAATGCTCCTGTCAGTTCACACAAGTCTGCTCAACCTCAAAATAACAATGATCTCCTGGGTGGCTTAATTTCACAACCAGGCTCAAAGCCTTCAATGGCACCACAGACAGTTACTCCGTCGGCAGGAGCACTTGCTATAGTTCCAGTTTCAGAACCATCGAAGGATAAATTTGAGATGAAGTCGGCAGTTTGGGCTGATACATTGAGCAGAGGACTAGTCAATCTGAATATATCTGGACGTAAGTATTAATTATTCCTTTGTAAAAAAAATCTCATGCAGTAGATCCTTTCCACATGCACTAACTTCCTTTTTATTTCTGTATGCAGCTAAAACAAATCCGTTGGCTGATATTGGAGTGGACTTTGATGCTCTTAATCGGAAAGAAAAGAGGATGGAAAAACCCGCCCCAAATGCGGTAACATCTACAGTCACCATGGGTAAGGCTATGGGATCAGGTTCTGGAATTGGTCGTTCTGGTGCTAGCAGTCTTAGAACTCCAGCAAATCCTATGGCGGGTTCAGGTATGAGTAGGATGGGTATGGGAATGGGTTTTGGACCAGCTGGAGGCATGGGCATGGGGGGAGGTTATGGTGGTATGAATCAACAATCTATGGGCATGGGAATGGGGATGAACAACATGGGCATGAATCCTGGAATGGGGATGAACAACGTGGGCATGAATCCGGGAATGAGGATGAATATGGGAATGGGGCAAAGACCCTACATGCAACCACAAGCTGGAATGCCTGGGGGTTATAACCCTATGATGGGTTCCGGTGGCTATTCTCAACAGCCATACGGTGGCGGATACCAATAAGAACGAGTTACCATTCCCGACGTGTAAAAGGAAGTTACATACGAAGCTTGTGATATAACAGAGTTAAAAGAGATTGAAATATAGCTAAACCTTAGATGTCTCCATTCGAATCCCCCGAGTAGAAGCTGTAGTTTTGTAGTCCCGCAAAATTGTCTTGGCAGTGGCCTGATGGGATCCAATGATGCTTGTATTATTTTTCTCATTCTTGCTTAAGCTATTGCACTCTTTGGACCATTCTGAGTCCTATTGGTCCAATGCCTGGTTTGAGCTGTTGTGAAATTGTGTATTTCTCACGTTTGCTTTATTATTATTATTATTATTATTATTATTATTATTATCACTGCCTTCTCATTCTTTCATATGATATATTTATATACTACAGAATATAGTATTTAAAGACATTTCCTTGTTGAAAAAACATGAAAGAAATCATGTCCTTTTCAAATAAAATAAAAGTAACCAAAGCAGTGCAATCAGCACTTGAAATTTGCAAAAGAAAGAACCAAATAGAATAAGTTCTTAATGATAGCTCACATTACTTTCCTACTAAACAAACACATAATGAGAAGCTAATTAGAACTTAAAAAGTTTGAAAAACCAAATTACAACGACGAATGTTACGAGCAACATGACTAGGACCAAACCATGTTTTCCAGTCTTCAGTTTTCTTGTAAAAGAAAAGGGCTGGTTTTCAGGTATGATTAGTTCCGAATAATATCCTCAAAAACCTCATAAAAGATTCTACACAATCCCAGTGGATGATATAATTGCATCCAGATTCTGGGCATTCGAGAGCCAAATCTTCACAAGGCTTACCACATTCATTGCAATCAGGATAGTAGTAACTCTTCTTGACAAAGGTGAGCGGGTGCGGATGATACACATCTTTGTATATGCTCCCGACTTTAATAAATGGATATTCTCCAAGAACACACACGACATGGGCAGAAGTATCGCATGTTGCACAACAATAGAACCAGTAATTCGGATCTCGCTTTTCTTCACATATATCACAATAATGACTTTCGGAATAACTATTATCATCATGATCAATGAGTGAAAGCGAATGCTCATCACATTTGTGACGAGCTGTAATTGGCAGAAAAAAGCATTGATGATCTAATACAAAATCGCCTTCCTTACAACGAAATGCACCCCATGTAGTACAGCCACATGCATTGCAACGCCCTTTGTACTTCCGATAGAAAAAGAGGGGGTGCTCATGTTTCGGACATGTTTGAACACCAGGAGTAAGAGTAATCACACATCGGAGACATACCTTTTCCGCACATCCACAACATTCATAAGCAAAGGCGTTACACACCTGGCGACATTCTTCACACTTGAAAACTTTGTTTGAAATAAGGACGAGAGGTTTTCGACAATTATGATGCCATACATGCTTTTTCCGAGGTAATTCAGCGCAAACTCTGTGAAGAAAAAAAACACATTCTGAACAATGGTAAAATGAATCTGAGATAGGCAACATACACCCATCACAAATATTTTCACACCCTCGAACAGGGGGACTTGACATTAGATTATGATCGTGCATGAAATGTTTTATTTTTGTAGCTTCTCCAGCATCATTCCTCTCCAAAACAGTTATTGAACTTTCATTGGATATTTCATATTCATCTTCCAATGGAAATATAAAAAATGAATATTCGTCCTTTGTCACGCAATTTACATGGAATGTAACATTGCAGTATGAACAACAATAACTCCAAAAAAAAAAAAACAATAACTCCCATGCTCCGGATCGACCTCCTCATGACAAATAATGCAGTCTGAACTTTTATAATCATCTAGAAGGAAATATTTGTGAAAGATGCAATGATCATGCCACTTGCTCTTGATGATGTGTGGTAGTAAAGTGCACCTTTTATGGACTATGATGTTGCATGTACAACATATATAGGCAGAGTAAGCTCCTCCTGTACCACATGCATCACAAAAGAACGGTGCTTGTCTCGGAAACAGATGGAACGGATGTTCATGATGCACAGATTCGATGATAGGAGCAAGACATTGTGATACACATTCAATATGAACAACAAACTTACAAGGTGAACAACCATATACAAGTCCTCTCCGTGGAGTTACCTGACAGATCTTGCAAGTGAGCTTTTTTTTCTTTTTCTTTGTTTTAAATTGCAGAACAATACGATGTTTGCGATGGCACATATGATTCAATTTGAGAGGAAGTTCAGAACATTTCTTGTGTAAATTAAATCCACAGTCAGGAGAGAAGTATGTATAATTTGCTAATGGTTCCCAACACCCAAAACACTTAGGGTGTGTTTGGTTTGGGAAATGTGAGATTCTCATGGGAATGAAATCCACATTCCCCGTTTGGTTGGTCGGGAATGTCAGGTAATCTTACATTACCAATAGTAGATTTTTTGGAGTATATTACCGGAAATGTCATTACCTCCCTTTCCTTAGGTATTGTTGGATTACCAGCGTTTTGGATTAAAATGCCCTTAAAAAAATTTCTTTCAAAAATATTCTTATTCTGTTATTGAATAATAAAAATTCTATGAAGGTTAAAATACAAATTTATCCTTAAACTATTTTAGATTTACAAAAAAAATCTATAATTAAAATTTTATATGAAGTTCAGGGATTAAAATAAAATTTTACCATTTCATTAAACTATTTTATATTTTCAATTTTGTAAAAAGAATTATATAAATTTTATGAATTTATTTTTTTTTAAAAATATATAAATATTTTTCAACTTGTTAAAAAAACAAATATATAATAAAGATAATTTGATAAAATATATATTCTAATAATCTTTTATTCCTTTAACCAAACACGTTAATCTGACATTCCTGTTAAACCAACCAAACACAAAATATAACAATAATTCTATTCCCTGATAATTTTTTATTCCCACTAGTAATCTTACATTCTGTGTATTGAAGTCAAAAAGTTTGCTGCAGAAACTGAAGCAAGTGCTGAAGAAGTTAATAAAGCAGGGTGAATGTTAGTGATCACGTGCTTGTGCTTATGGATATGTTGTGAGTTCTAGAATAGTTTTGTTCTAGAATAGTTTGTTAGCTTGTAGCAGTTAAGTTGTTGAGCTGTTAGTCGTTTGTTGTAGCAGCATATGCTTTCCTTATTGACTATATAAATAATGCTCTTTAATTCAAGAGAGATCAACTTCTTGATAATAAAAAGATTACAAAGTATTTTCAGTCTCTTTCTTGCTTTCTTAGATAGCTCAACTGCTATCTTATCATGGTATCTTTCGCCAATACCTGGGTGTGTTTCTTCCGTTGTTTCTTCTCTTTTCCAGTAGCTGCACGAGATTAAGCTCTCACGTCTCGTGTGATTCTTGGCATCATGGTTGATTTGACGATTGATCCCGAGGATGTGTCTCCGAATGCTTCTTCCCTGAGTCCGGGAACTTCTCGAGGTATGTTTGGCATTCAACACATACCAAAGCATGACACTGTTAAACTCACTGAGTCCACATACATTCTTTAGAAGCATCAAGTGGCTTTGATAATTGATGGCCATGGGTTGCTGAGGTTCATCTCGGTCGGTTCTGTTGCACTAGATGAGTTCATCACTAATGCATATGGACAACTTGAAGAGAATCCAGTGTTTGTAACTCATCGCCAGCAAGATAAACTGCTTGCTTCCTGGCTTTTAACTACTGTGAGTACAGAGGTTCTGTCGCATTTGACTGGACTTACAACTGCGATGTCAATCTGGAATACTATATCTCGTTTGTTTGGTGCTCTTTCTAGTGCCAAGATTTGTTCTCTTCGGTATAATCTTCATTCCCAACGAAAGACTGGTTTGACGGTTAAGGAGTATCTTGCTAAAGTCAAAACCATATGTGATTTGTTGAATGCTTCAGGTAGTGTGGTTACTGAGCAAGAACATGTTAATGGTGTGTTAGCTGGACTTACAATAGAGTTTGAGTCCATTATTGCAATTGCATCACGAGAAATTTTTTCTCTTGATGTTCTTACTGAGATGTTGTTAGATTGCGAGGCTCGACATAAGATGTTCTTGAGTGAAGACTTTTCTGCAAATCTTGTTCTTCACTCCCGGGAAAGTGTTGCTGCTGAAACTGACTCTTGTGGAACCCAAGATGTTAATATTGGGTCATCACAGGATCATTCATCTCGTGGACAGTAGAATGGATATCGTGGTCAAGGTCGATGGCGTAATAATAATCATCCTCAATGCCAGTTGTATGGTCGGCTTGGACATGTGGTCCAAAAGTGTTATCATTGTTTTGATAGAGACTACACTGGTGTGTTTGGGTCTGAGTCGATGCAAGAGAATGGCTCGAAGCCCACTGGTGCTGGGAATTCTGCTAAACACCCGCAATCTGGTGGACAACCTTATGCTCACACCGTAACCTCCATGCCTTCTCGTTCAAACTTTGTTCCCACTCATTTTTACTTTTCATCCCCGTATGCTCATGGATATTACCCCTTTCCTGGCTTCTCTCCTGGTTTTTCTTCGAATACCTCTTGTGGTTCTCATGGTACATCCCCCTCCTTTTTGACTCCTAGTTCAGCAGCATATGCGTCCTCTGTTCCTATGGACTCCGGGACTTGTTCTTCAGCATTGACTGACTCCTTGTGGTATCCTGACACTGGTGCTACACATCATGTAACAAATGATATGACTATTTTTCAATCAGGTACTCTTTATACGGGTGGTAATTCCTTGCTCATGGGTAATGGTGATGGTATTCCAATTACACATGTTGGTCAAGGATTTTTGAGCTCAAATAAGAAGCCCTTAATTTTACAAAATATATTACACGTACCTAACATAAAGAAAAAGTTGTTGTCTATTTCTCAGTTCACTCGTGACAATGGTGTCTTCATGGAATTTCACCCTTCTGAATGTCTTGTGAAAGATGCTCGAACTCAAGCAATTCTACTTCGCGGGAGGCTCACGGATGACGGGCTATATCAGCTGCTGCCTTGTGAGGATCAGAGGTCTTCTTGTTTGGTGAATAATGTCTCGAAGTCACCTGTGTCTTTGAAGTTGTAGCATCAGCGTCTTGGCCATCCATCTCTTGATGTTGTTCAGCGTGTTTTGAAGTCGTGTAGTCTTGTTTTCAATAAAACTGAAGCAGTGAATGTGTGTTCTGCTTGTAAGCAAGGGAAATCTCATAAGTTGCCATTTTGTAAATCTTTGACTGAATATAATGAGCCCTTTCAACTTGTTGTCTCTGATGTCTGGGGACCAGCTCCTGTATGCTTCACTGACGGTTTTCTTTATTATGTTTCATTTGTTGATGTTTGTAGCCGTTATACCTGGATGTACCTCTTGAAACGCAAATCTGAGGTGACTCAGTGCTTTCTTGACTTTGTGAAATAGGTTGAAGTACAGTTTGGATACAAAATTAAAGCCCTTCAGACTGATGGTGGTGGGGAATATCAACCACATCGAAATTGGTTCTGTGCCAATAGAGTGCAGCATCGTCTCTCGTGCCCTGGTACCTCAGAGCATAATGGTAATGTAACACCCCCAACCCGTATCCGACCCGGATACGAGTCTGAAGTGTCACATTGACTTTTCAAACATTTATTCGTATAAAATATTGAGTAATTTAAAAACTTTTATAACATTCAACTTATTCAAAACGTTTACAAAACTATTCAGAGTTTATACAATATATTCTTTTGAATACATGCCAACTAGAACGTTATATATTAAAGTACATATTAATCACCTCTTTTCTGATCTGACATTGAGTAAGGAGAACTGACCTGTCTTACTCCACATCGCTCTTTACTTCTCTCCATACCTACGTGTAAATTACTTACACGCTAAGTCGTTGACTTAGTGAGGCATATAAAACATATAATAAAACCACAAACCATTTCATATAACATAATGCATACTTATACATATATCATTAATATACTTATCAGTACTCATATCATTATTACTAATTTTTTTCTATCATGTAAGCATATATTGAACCTTTCTATACTCACCATCGAGTATCCATGTCATTTCACAACAAAGCATATATACAATATCATAACAAGTTATTTATTATCTTTAAAGCCCTTGCATTAGCCCATGTATACATTTGAGAACTTAAGGTATGTGAGTACATTGAGGTTGTGCACTAATGCTGTTACCACAGCTCGTATCAATTCCCTCATGGGGCACCGAACCTTAGTTCAGTATTCGTCCCGAAGGACCAGTCCATAGATCCCGAAGAACCTAGGTAAACAGTCCATATATCCCGAAGAACATAGTTAAACAGTCCATATGTCCCGAAGAACATAGGTAAACAGTCCATATGTCCCGAAGAACATAGGTAAACAGTCCATATATCCCGAAGAACATAGGTAAACCCTCGACCCTTGGCATGCCAACTATACCACTAGCTCTCTTATCACATAACATGGGCATTAACATTCATAACATTTCAATTTACTTATTCATATCATTTCTCTTATGAACATATATCTTTTCTTTTCAGTCATGTACCAAATGTACGTGTAATCATTGATCTTATAATCACATGTTCATTCTCTTCGGTCACATACCATATGTATTTGTAAACATATATCTAATATCATATAACATGCATCACAAATGCATGTATTCACATAAATCATTTCTTATAGCTTTATTCATATCACATATTCATATAAGCTCATATCTTATTTCACATATACTTTCCATATAACTTACATATCTCATAATCACACAAATCATAACATTGATCACCAATCAAATAACATTTTAGGAGTTACTTCTTACCATAGTAACTCCATCACTGGCTCATCGCAAGCCAAATGTTTATTCAATAATATAAGTACAAATTAAATTGCACTCACCTTAGCTTTGCTTTGATTCGATTATAATCCTTCAATTGATCCGGAACGGGATCACGTTCTATATCTACATCATCATACATAGATCTATATTAGTATTATAACTAATATACTCTAATGGTTCACTCCTTAGACTAAGAAAAATGACAATTTCATCTTTCAATGAAAGTATGCATCGATGCACTACTGATGCATCGGTGCACAAAATGCATTCGATGTTGTATTATTACTGGTATGCATCGATGCACTACTTATGCATCGATGCATGAATTGCATTCGATGTTTTTATTTTAAAAGAGTGCATCGATGCACTACCAATGCATCAAGACACCTTCAAACAATTTCTGGGTTTTAACCTTGATGCATCGATGCACTATGAATGTGCATCGATGCACTCTGCCCAGAACCTCTTTTTGAACCCGAAAATCATCAACTCTTCACTCAAATGCTTCATATTTCATCCCCTTTCATATACATGTTTAAACTCATTTATAATCAATTATCTCGTCTTTAACCTTAATATCTTCTCCTCTTTATTAACTTCAAGAATCATACCAGATTTTTAACATGTTTTAAATCTAATTCTAATACTCCATATTCCTTAATTAGATTGATGACAAGTCAAATTCCTTCTCAAAATTCACTTACTAACTCTTTTCTAGAATTTCCTTCAGAAACTCATTTTCTTTAATCTTTCATAACTTCTTTATCTTTTGATTTTAGGACAACTTAAGCTTTCCATAAGCTTAAGTATTACCTAATGATCAAAACCCACTCTTAAAATTAACAAATAATCAGCTAACAAGGAATCTTACCTTTGCAAGCTTGGCTCTTCTCTCTCTCGTACATGAAGAAGAAGAAGAAGAAGAAGAAGAAGATGATGAAGAGAATATCTCTTCATCCTTATCCCCTCTAACATATATATCCTTATCATATCTATTTTTAATTCATTTATTAGTCAAATGACCATTTTGCCCTCTACTTCATTTGATAATTACTAACAACTTTTAGGATTTATTTCCAGATAAATCATTGAACTAATCCATTCTTCTACTTTAATCACCAAATTTCTGAAACTTTACCATTTAGTCACTAACCCATAGTTTGGGATGTTACAACTCTCCCCTCCTTATAAGAAAATTCGTCCTCGAATTTTCACTGCACATCTTAATAAGAACATATCTTCTAATGTTCTTATGTTGCTTCCCTGACTTATTCTTTCTTGTCATCATCAGAAACTTACTTTTCAATCCTTTAGTTTTCCAACTATCTTTTTCGTTTATACATTCAGCTTCTGTTGCTTATCAATAAACAATAATACCAATCCATTGTTGTCTTTTCTCTCATTCGATTATGCATTTTTCCTTTGACCTTTCTAAAATTCCATATAATGTCACTCATCACGTTGACAGGCACATCGATCTCATCACTCTATATCATAAATCCATCTATTTCTTCATAACTCTCTAATTACCTTATAACCATACCAAACTTGTATTTCGTCATCATTTAACCAAAACACAACTTTAAATCTTCTTAAATTGTGATTAAACATATACTTTAAGGAGTCAAACAATATTTTCACATCACCTTGCACACTTTTCGTGTTTCTATATCAAACTTATCATTTACACTTCCATACGAATCCTCACATTCACTATATCACATTTACGTACAAAATATACAACTATATCCAATACAATTTCATCACAAAATCTTGTTAGTCAACGCTAACTCTTTCATTCTAAAGTACAATTCCTTATCATCTCCACACTCTTTCTTATACACAATACTATCCCTTTGTTTCAAATTCATAACTCTGATTTCATTCATATAATGTTACTTATCCTGTAGACAGTAACATCAATTCTTATCACTCAAAATCAAAAATCAATCAATTGATTTCTTTCCTCATTTTCTAATTAATTCACCACAATCCAAACTTTTACTCATTCTTTCATCCTTGTCTGTATTACGATACACATAATCTCTTCATATAACCTTACATATTTTTCTTACTTCTAATCAAACTTATAATCTGCACTTTCTTATAACCCTTTATCATATTTAATCTTTCAGTACCATACCATACTAATTGAGTCTGTTTGACTATCAGATTTGATTCTCTGGCAGAGAATACAACTAATTCATACCTTATCTTAAGTTAAAAACCATAATCTCTACCTCTCTTGATGGTACTGAACTCTATGAAGCACCAATTCTCTTAATCATATGAGATTTTTATTCTCCAAACTTTTCATTCTGAGCTCTTTCTCTTTAAAGCTTTAACACAATTAACCATTTCTTGAAACGATAACAAATTCAAAGCCAGTAACACTCTTTTAATTTAAGGTGCAAGTCCTAAACAACAAATCACATGTATCATTTTCAGTCGGAATTAACTCAGCAGCAATTCTGCTTAGCTTATTAAACTTATAATCATACTCATACAAGGTGTAATTCCCTTGTTTCAAGCTCGTGTATTCCAATTTCATCTGTCTTATAAACTGGTCATCAATGCACTTATTCTTGAACTCTTATACAATTCTAATCACATCATTTAATCTTTTAACATTCTTATGGTGAAAATTGTCAACCATACTCTAACTTACCAAAGTAGTAACAAAACTACTCAATTCAACATCTCCACTTTGAAGAAATAAAAACCTTCTATCATATCATTCAACCAAAGGTCTATAACAATAGAACCTTCCTCAAATCCACCCTTGAACTTGGGTGCTCACAACTTTATCAACTAATTTGATACATTCATTCTATGAGTTAAAGAAGTATAAATTGAAAACACATAAGAATATTCTTCAACATGAAGAATAATTTTCCAAATTTTATACAGGCACTTCCTGAGGTGTTCGCTCTTCTCCCTGCCTGGCCAGGGCAGGTGAATGCTATTACCTTCAGGTTTATTACCTTTCACTTATTTCGAAGCTCTTATTATCATACTTCTATTATCACATAATAATCTATTTTTATTAGCAAGACAGCATACTGCTTACACTATCAGATCATAATTTTTCACTTTGATTTAGCATGTATACTTTTTAAAACACTTCTGACTTCGATTTAAGCCTAGAATCGGCTAAACCGTAGCTCTGATACCATTAAATGTAACACCCCTAACCCGTATCTGACCCGGATACGAGTCCGAAGTGTCACATTGACTTTTCAAACATTTATTCGTATAAAATATTGAGTAATTTAAAAACTTTTATAACATTCAACTTATTCAAAACGTTTACAAAACTATTCAGAGTTTATACAATATATTCTTTTGAATACATGCCAACTATAACGTTATATATTAAAGTACATATTAATCACCTCTTTTCTGATCTGACATTGAGTAAGGAGAACTGACCTGTCTTACTCCACATCGCTCTTTACTTCTCTTCATACCTACGTGTAAATCACTTACACGCTAAGTCGTTGACTTAGTGAGGCATATAAAACATATAATAAAACTACAAACCATTTCATATAACATAATGCATACTTATACATATATCATTAATATACTTATCAGTACTCATATCATTATTACTAATTTTTTTCTATCATGTAAGCATATATTGAACCTTTCTATACTCACCATCGAGTATCCATGTCATTTCACAACAAAGCATATATATAGTATCATAACAAGTTATTTATTATCTTTAAATCCCTTGCATTAGCCCATGTATACATTTGAGAACTTAAGGTATGTGAGTACATTGAGGTTGTGCACTAATGCTGTCACCACAGCTCGTATCAATTCCCACATATACATGTTTAAACTCATTTATAATCAATTATCTCATCTTTTTGAACCCGAAAATCATCAACTCTTCACTCAAATGCTTCATATTTCATCCCCTTTCATATTCCTAACTTTCATATACATGTTTAAACTCATTTATAATCAATTATCTCGTCTTTAACCTTAATATCCTCTCCTCTTTATTAACTTCAAGAATCATACCAGATTTTTAACATGTTTTAAATATAATTCTAACACTCCATATTCCTTAATTAGATTGATGACAAGTCAAATTCCTTCTCAAAATTCACTTACTAACTCTTTTCCAGAATTTCCTTAAGAAACTCATTTTCTTTAATCTTTCATAACTTCTTTATCTTTTGATATTAGGACAACTTAAGCTTTCCATAAGCTTAAGTATTACCTAATGATCAAAACCCACTCTTAAAATTAACAAATAATCAGCTAACAAGGAATCTTACCTTTGCAAGCTTGGCTCTTCTCTATCTCGTACATGAAGAAGAAGAAGATGAAGAGAATATCTCTTTATCCTTATCCCCTCTAACATATATATCCTTATCATATCTATTTTTAATTCATTTATTAGTCAAATAACCATTTTGCCCTTTACTTCATTTGATAATTACTAACAACTTTTAGGATTTATTTCCAGATAAATAATTGAACTAATCCATTCTTCTACTTTAATCACCAAATTTCTAAAACTTTACCATTTAGTCACTAACCCATAGTTTGGGATGTTACAGGTAAGGCTGAGAAGAAACATAAGCACATTGTTGAAACATGATAGACAATGTTAGCTCAGGCTTCTTTACCTCAGAAATTTTGGAGCAATGCATTTATTTATGTTGTTTATCTTATCAATCGATTACCCACATATGTTTTGCATGGCATGTCTCCCTTTGAAGCTCTGCATCGTGTCTTGCCAGATTATTCCTTTCTCAGGGTGTTTGGTTGTGCTTGCTATCCTTGCTTGCGTTTGTTTAATCGTCATAAACTGGATTTCAGGTCGAAGAAGTGCGTGTTTCTAGGATATAGCACTGCTCATAAGGGATACAAATGTATGGATGACTCTGGCAGAATAATAATTTCAAGGCATGTTGAATTTGATGAAAGTGTTTTTCCTTATGAAGTGTGTAATTTTTCAGGTGTTGCTCCAGATAATGGTGTCTTCACGGGTATTATTCCTCTTGTCTCCCCTGCACAGACATCACATGCTCCACCAGCGCATGCTCCACTTGCACCTGCTCCATCAACTAGTGCTCCATCTCCACAACTAATATTCCTCTTGTCTCTCTTGTACAGACAATGCCAGGTCCATCAACAAGTGCTCCAACAAATGCTCCATCAACGAGTACTCCAACGATAAGTGCTTCAACAATGCGTGCAAATAGCCCGACGTGTGCGCCTTCAATTCATTCAACACATAATTTTTTAATTAAAAATGGTCCACATTCTGAGCCATTGTCTTCAATTAATGTCGATTATCAAGGAGTTGGGACCATGACACCAGCTCATGCGCATATGGGAATAGGAGCTGCTCCAACAAGCGTGAATGATCAAAGAATTGGGATCACATCATTAAGTGGAAACAACCCACGTGAAGGTCCCATGTGCTCTCCATCATCATCAATGCAATTATCTTCAATGCAAGCTCCACTACGTGAAAACATTTCACGTGCAATTGATTCGCATGGTGCTCCACTATCAACGCATGGTTTTTTATTTGCAAATGGCCCACATGATGTGCCATTAACGCGTGATGCTCCACCAAATTCAACACTTGCTTCTTTGGATTCAACACATGCGCATATTCCGTTTAATACCAACATCCCACGTGGTCCCATGCCATCTCCACTAGAATCAATAATAAGTGCAAATGCCCCAACAATGCGTGCAACGCTTCCACTTAGTGAAACATACCATGTGTTGCTGGTCACATGCCGTCTCCACGTGATTCCCTAGTTGATGGACAGTTTGTTTTGCCTACATGTGATTCACTAGCTCACGAGACTGATGGACAAGTCCCGCCTGCACGTGGTTCTCCAGTACCCGAGACTATTGTTTATCCTTCATCATCTCGTATTCCTCATAACACACATTCCATGGTTACCAGGGCTAAAGATGACATTTGGAAACCTCTTGTTCTACATGTTGAGTGTCTTGATGAAGAGCCTCGGTCCATTAGAGAAGCTATGAAGATTCCTCATTAGAAGAAAGCTGCACATGAAGAGTTTGATGCTTTGATTGCGAACAACACGTGGTCTCTGGTTCCTCTTCCTAAAGACCGTGTACCTGTCAACTGCAAATGGATTTTTAAGGTGAAACATAATGTTGATGGTTCATTATCTCGGTACAAGGCTCGTCTTGTTGTAAAGGGGTTTCTTCAACGACCAGGGATTGATTTTCATGAAGTTTTTAGTCCAGTTGTGAAACCTGTAATGGTACGAGTAATTCTTACTCTTGCATTGACAAGAGGTTGGTTGCTGCATCAAGTAGATATTAATAATGCCTTTTTAAATGGGGCATTGATGGAAGAGGTTTACATGACTCAGCCTCCTGGGTTTGTGCAAGCTAGTGATGGTTTAGTTTGCAAGCTGCATAAAGCAATTTATGGCTTGAAGCAAGCTCCTCGAGCCTGGTTTGAGAGCCTTCGAGAATACCTGGTCTCATAAAGGTTCGATTTGTCTAAATCTGATTCATCATTGTTTGTTCGAAAATCAGCTAGTAGTGTTGTCTACATGCTTGTATATGTAGATATCATCTTGACAGGGAGTGATGCTAGTGAGGTTTAGTGTGTGATTGAAAAACTGAATTCTCGATTTTTGTTAAAGGATCTTGGTTCTCTTAATTTCTTTCTTGGTATAGAGGTGTGTTCTGATGGTGATGGCCTTGTTTTGACTCAACAAAAATATATTCGGGAGCTATTGCATAAGCATAGTTTTGGAGATATCAAGAGCCTTCCTACTCTCATGGTCTCCAACTGCAAGTTGTCAGTTGCTGCCGGTGATCCCATTGAAGATGCAACCCAATACAGAAGCATTGTAGGAGCTCTTCAGTACATAGTAGTCACTCGGCCAGATATTGCTTTTGCAGTAAACAAAGTTTGCCAATTCATACAGTCACCTCGCAATAGCCATTTTCAGGCTATTAAGAGGATTTTACGTTATCTTCAAGGAACGGCTGATTATAGTCTCCGTTTTACAGCATCTTCTCGCATGTCTTTGATTAGTTTTGTTGATATAGATTGGGGGTCTGATCCTGATGATAGGCGTTCCACGAATGGTCACTGCATTTTCTTTGGTGAAAATCTCATTTCCTAGAGCTCACGCAAGCAACAAATTATTTCTCGTTCCACGGCTGAAGCTGAGTATAGAAGTGTTGCTTCTGCGGCTGTTGACATTGTTTAGATTAAGTCATTGCTTCAAGATTTGGGCGTGGTTACACGTGGTAAAGCTATATTGTGGTGTGATAATTCCAGCACTGTTGCGGTCTGTGCCAATCATGTTCAGCATTCTAAGTTCAAGCATGTTGAGCTTGATTTGTTTTTTTTATGAGAAATGGTTATTAATGGTCGTTTATAGGTTAATGAGGTTCCAACTTATGAGTAGGTGGCAGATGTTTTGACAAAGACATTATCTTCTGTCTCGTTTCTCAAGCACAGACAAAAACTCTTGGTAACACAGCTAAGAGGGCTTCCTGCAGGTTTACAAAGTGGGAATGGCAGGGGGAATATTGAAGTCAAGAAGTTTGCTGCAGAAACTGAAGCAAGTGCTGAAGAAGTTAATAAAGTAGGGTGAATGTTAGTGATCATGTGCTTGTGCTTATGGATATGTTGTGAGTTCTAGAATAGTTTGTTAGCTTGTAGCAGTTAAGTTGTTGAGCTGTTAGTCGTTTGTTGTAGTAGCATATGCTTTCCTTATTGACTGTATAAATACTGCTCTCTAATTCAAGAGAGATCAGCTTCTTGATAATAAAAAGATTACAAAGTATTTTCAGTCTCTTTCTTGCTTTCTTAGATAGCTCAACTGCTATCTTATCACTGTGAACCAAAAGCACCCTCAGAAACATCATCAAGTTGTTCATCATCTTTTTTAGCGGAAATCAACGGATCTTCAAGGGCAACATGCTGAAGCTCTTTCAAATTATTTTGAGCAATATCAAATGTAAACAAATCACATTTAATATGAAAGTCCAAACCACACGAGCAATGATAAACGAACTTCTCACCCGTTTTATCAAAAAAATGGCAAATGTACTCTCCAGATGAATAAGGTGACTTTTGTATCAGAATAAGAGGGTGATTATGATGGAAAGGATGATTAAGCTCAAAAGGTGCGTCGGCACATACCTTGTGAAGGTAAAACCCACAGTCCTCGGCATAGCGAAAACATCGAACAGACACCTTCTTCTCACACCTGGAGCAGTCAGCTACTAGTCCTCTTTGATTGGTGATGAGCTGCTTTTTGTTCGACAGAAGTAGTAGAGGATGGTGGTGCCCATAATTGTTTAAGTCCTCCATTTCTCCTCCTTCCATGTGTTTTTCTTTTTCAAATAAATAAAGCAACAACATGATTTTGGGAGCAAACTATCAATGGGAAAACAACATAACAAGCGAGTGTGAGAGAGAGCTAGAGAGGGAGGCTGGCTTATAGAGAAGAGGCCAACTGGTGGGTTTGAGGTTGTTGGCCATAATTGTTTCTATTTATTGCTATAACATATAGTTGCACACTGATTTTGTACCACTTTGGTCGTCTTCGTAGTAATAATATATTTTTTTCTTGATTAACGATTTTTTAATTTTGTCGATTATTACTTGCACATTCTATCAACTTAGGACTAAATGTAAGTAGTTAGGATTAAATGTATAATTATATTAATTTTTAACTATCATCTAAGCTCTTCAATCAAATATTAACAATGCGTGATTTGATTGACAACATTAAATAGTTAAGTAATTTAATTGATAAAATTAAGAGATCGGTGATCAAAATAGAATCTATCAATAATTAAGTGGTCATGATTATAGTTTATGCATTTTTTAATGATAATATGGTACTACGATATGGTGACATATCAACATCACCATTAAGTTTAATGATAGGTGATCAAAATAAAATTAAAACGTAAGGTTAGTGATAATTTTAAGAAAAAAATAGTTAAATGACTAAACCATAACAAAAATGATAATTGAGTGATTAAATACATAGTTAATCCCAGAGAATATAGTTGAGTGAGTTGTGGATGGATTTGTTTTCTTTATCAGATTCATTTATTTCAGCATCGATCGGTCCAGGTTTTGTGGCTATAATTTTATCTATTTATTGCTTTCTTATCGTTTCCTTTATTATCACAAGTGACAGAGAGTACATACAGGCCTCTTATCTTTTCCGTAAGGCTCTGCTTCGTACATTATTTATTTTAATAGTAATTTTTAGTTCAGGATTGGTGGCTACAATTATATCTATTTATTGTTGGTAAAACTTAGGGGAGTGTTGTGATTACAAAAAAAATAGAGAAATGGTGATTGTGACAAATTAAAGAAAAAATCGAGACTAAAATGAAAAATCATATAAATATATCTAAAAAGAAGAAGCACACATGTTACATGTCGCGAACACTAATTATTATAAATTTAAAATAGAGAAAATCGCCTCAGTGACCAAAAATGCCTTATAATATACGATTTTAACCAACTTTTTTTTAGATTTGCCAAAATGACCAACAAAATCGTAATGCGAAATAAAAATCGCAACGCGATCTCCAGAATCGCAAATAAAGTTCCCAGAATCGCAACGCGATTATGAAGAATCGTAATGCGATAGTACAAATTCGCATTGCGATTTTCCAGAATCGCAACGCGAATATGAAAATCGCAACGCGAACATATAAATCGCAACGCGATTCTAACTATCGCAACGAGTATCCGTAAAATCGCAACGCGTATCCGTAAATCGCAACGACAATACGTAAAATCGCAACGCGTATCCGTAAATCGCAACGAGAATACATAAATCGCAACGCGTATCTGTAAATCGCAACGAGAATACGTAAATCGCAATGCGTATCCGTAAATCGCAACGACGATACGTAAAATCGCAACGCGTATCCGTAAATCGCAATGCGATTTTTAAAGTGCCATTAGAATCGCTACGCGTATTTTATTTTCAAATTCCAAACACGAATATTAATTATCGGAACACTGAACCGTCCACAGTATATCCCGTAATCGCAACTCATAACCTAAAACCTAAAATCACAACTCAGTCCCATCTCCATCTCTCACTCTCTACGGTGAAATCCGTCCCCATCTCTGAAGATTTTCGTCCCCATCTCCGGCAAAATCCCTCACAACCATTCACGGTCAGAAATCCCTCACAATCATTCAGAAATGGAAAATCAACCTCCGAGGGTTAGTTTTTTTTAATTATTTTTATTTTGAAATTTTTGCATTATTTTAGGTTTTTCATATTGAAATTGATGATAAGTTTACTGGTAATTTCAATAATAGATTAACCATTTCACTTAGATTTCTTCTTAAATTCATTCGATTGCTGCTAATACTGCTAAACTGTTTAGTCTTTAACCCTGTGAAGTTAGTATTTGTCTTTGTTTTATCTTTTGGTTGAAGTAATGCAATCCATTAAAGTTTCAATTTGCAGAAGAAGAATAGTTTCTAAACTTAAAATCGCAACATGAAAATGAAAATCGCAACACGAAAATGATTATCGCAATGAGAGAAATGAAAATCGCAACGCAAAACCAAAATCGCATTACGATTTTCATTTCGCGTTGCGATTCTCTCGTTGCAATTTTCATTTCGCGTTGCGATTCTCTCGTTGCGATTTCATTTCGCGTTGCGATTCTCCGTTGCGATGTCATTCCGCGTTGCGATAGTCATTCTCTCGTTGCGATTTTCATTTCAACCAAAAGACAAAACAGTGTTGCAAATTTTAATTTCAAGAATAAACTACTACTCTTTATGTTTATTGTTTTTGGTATATCTTCACAGTGTAGTTTTTGGTATATCTAACTTGGTATGTTTATTGTTTTTGTAGAAATTTTTTTCGGCTTCATTGACATTAAGGAATAAAGTTAGCCTAGCCACTACAATTGCTTCGAAGCTTTCACCTACATAAAGAAAATTGTTTGAGGAAACATGCTTTGGGCCATGGCTGAGAGTACAGCATCCGGGTAGAGATGCTAATTTGACCCATTTGTGGCTTCAGACCATGACTAGCGATCTACCCGACAGTATACAACGTGGTGAGGAAGAGATATGGTTTCATTTTCCACCGGCGTATACTTGTTTTGGGAGGAATGAATTCTGCTTAATCACTGGTCTACGATTCGGACACGATGATGTAGGCCGGTACACTCGTCATATCACCCGCCCATCATGGTTATCCCAGGTTTTTCCTGATGAGTCAATAGAGAAGCTGAACTTACACGTCGACGACCTGAAGAAATTTTTTAATAATAAAGATGGTTTTACTCGGATGAATAACGTCGATGTTGTCCGAGTATGCCTTCTAGTACTTTTGTATGCCGGCTTTTTAGGCAGAGAGGCCAGACAACCTATTCCTCAAGAGCTAATATTATTGGTAGAGGACCTAAATGCATGGAATCTGTTTCTGTGGGGTTCGTATATATGGAAAGCTACCTGGACTAAGTTGTCGTCTGCCTTTGATGACCGCAAAAGTTTGCGTGGCGATGGGTCGAAATACACTTTTTCAGGCTTTGTTTGGGCCTTTAAGGTAAGAATTTCTATATAATGTTTTCAAAATTATAATTAATTATTTAACAATTACTAATATTTATTATTATATTGTTTGTAGATTTAGATATTCGAGGCTTTCCCCAGCATGCGGACATATGCATTAAAAACTTCAAATGATATTCCTAGGGCTATTTCCTGGAAGATGAAACGTCTGTTGGATTGGGAAGACTTAATACCATATGCGACAATAAATAATGTAAGTTAACACAAATACTATCATATATAAACAAGTTATTAATAGTAGAAGTTTAACTTTGTTTGAGTTTTTATATTTTTAGGAGGCCAACACTCCATTACAGAGAGTGACACCCACGGAGGCTGAGCTTGCCACTGATTGGTGGTAAGCTAGTCAGCGTTTTTTTTATGGCACGAATGATGAGCAGCCTCCACTTCCTCCACTTCGAGAGCCATCACCTCACCCAAAGCCATCACCTGATCGACCCGACTATACACCTCTACAATGAGAGCCATCACCTATCCCGTCACATCATCGAGCCTCTTCTCCACCATCACCTCATGATAGGCGACCGGTAAAGATGCCACGACTTCTATCTCCCTGTTCTCCACCTCCACCTCCACGGGATGAGTCAAGGGAGTTACGTGATGAGGTCAATGCCTTGCGTGAGGAAATCGGTACTCTACGAGATAACGATGGTGCATGGCGTGTGGAGGTGTCTACTTTACGTGGTGAGGTTGCCGCTCTACGTGAAATGGTAGTATCGTTGCAAAATGAGGTTCATACTCTACGCAACGAGGTAAGTTTAAGATTTTTCATATTTAACTTGATGATAAATTTACTCGTAATTTCACTTAGATTAACCATTTCACTTAGATTGCTTAGTAAATTTATTCGGTTTCTGCCAATACTGCTAAACTGTTTATTCTTTAACAATGTGAAGTTAGTATTTGTCTTTTGTTTTATCTTTTGGTTGAAGTAAATTTATTCGGTTGCTGCCAATTCTGCTAAACTGTGTATTCTTTAACACTGTGAAGTTAGTATTTGTCTTTGTTTTGTCTTTTGGTTGAAAGTAAATTTGTTCGGTTGCTGCCAATTCTGCTAAACTGTGTATTCTTTAACACTGTGAAGTTAGTATTTGTCTTTGTTTTGTCTTTTGGTTGAAAGTAAATTTGTTCGGTTGCTGCCAATTCTGCTAAACTGTGTATTCTTTAATACTCTGAAGTTAGTATTTGTCTTTGTTTTGTCTTTTGGTTGAAGTAATGTAATCCATTCAAGTTTCAATTTGCAGAAGAAGAAATAGTTTACTTTCGCAACACGAAACTTAAAATCACAACGTGAAAAATGACTATCGCAACGCAAAATGAATCGCAATGAGAAATGAAAATCGCAACGAGAGAATCGCAACGCAAAATGAAAATCGCAACGACAAAATCGCAACGCGAAACTATAATCGCGTTGCGATTTTCATTTCGCATTACGATTCTCTCGTTGCGATAGTCATTTTCGCATTACGATAGTCATTTTCGCGTTGCGATTTTAAGTTTCAGATTCTATTCTTCTTCTGCAAATTGAAACTTGAATGAATTGCATTACTTCAACCAAAAGACAAATACTAACTTCACAGTGTTGAAAATTTAAGTTTCAAGAATAAACTACTACTCTTTATGTTGTCATTGAACCTGCACTAAACCTATATGTTGTCCTTTTAAATGTTTATATATGTGCTTACTTCTGAAGTGTTATCTGATGCATTTTGTGAACAATGATATAATAATGACTTGGGTGAATACCGTGCAAGTTTGAAATATATTTGTCTTTGTTCTCACTGTTTAATATCATATCTGTTTATTTACTGATTTATGTATTAATTTATTTTTAGCGGCCCGCTAAGGTGGATGCTCTACGTCGGGTTTTTCT